GCGAATACGGAAAATGACGAATGGTTTCTAACCGCAGTTCCTGAAGGGTCAAAACGGTTTCTCGTGCTGTATGAGGTCTCGCGTTGTCATGGAGCAATAATGGTGAAGATCGATTTATGAAATTGGGCGGTTTTACTACTAGTTTTGCCAACATTGTTCGGAGTTCGGCACAATAGTAATCTGCCTTTATTACTTGACCAGATCGGAGAAAACTATAGTGAAAACCACCATGCTTTTATTGATAAATTTTGCTTTCGGACACTCGTGGCGTTTGACCATTTCATTTTCTTTTACGGTTATCATAAAAAAAACCATTTTTATCACATGTCACAAATTGATCCAATATTCCTTCATTTCTGTAACGATTCAGCAAATCAACACAAGTTTCAACACGTGTTTCTTTCTGCAGATCAGTAAAATCATGAGGCACCCATTTTTCGTACTTTTTTTATTTTATTGATTTGACGCAAATGAGTTAATTTTGTGGGTAAGATAACGTTAAACCGTGCCGCTAATTCCTGGGTAGTTTGACTAGAATCGGCTTCTGCCATCTCTCTTAATTCATCGTTATTCACCTGTGTGGGCGGTCTTCCTCGTGGCTCGTTCTTCAAGTCGAAGTTTCCATCACGGTAGCGTTTAAACCAAAATCGCACGGTGCGTTCATTGGCAGACCCCTCTCCAAACGCAACATTAATATTGGGGGTTGTTTCAGACGCATTATTTTCGCGTCGGAACTCGTGTTCAAAAATCACTCGAATTTTCTCAATATCCATCTTTATTGTCTAAGTTGAATAACAAAAACAATTGAACGTCGATATTCAAGAACTTCATAGAAACCATGTAAAAAAAATTCTTTCGAAAACCTCAAAACATGAAGATTCTATGTCGACTTAAGGAACCTATTGCAATTAAATGGCAATTTCATACTTAACCCCTAATATTACCTAGCTAGAGTCTATCTATATGTCTGTTTGGACGCTGATTACGCCGATTCTCAATTTCTCGAGATTAAAATAAGTCTGCCTGCACTTGTTAACTGTTTATTGTTATTTTTGTAGTTTGACAATTGAAAAGTATATTAAAAAAAATGTATTTATGCTGCGGCGACTCACGGCGCAATGACCCTCTCTCCTCCGCTTCGTACATAATCTCTGATCGCGATAATCTCTGAGATACCAACATTCACTTCACACTCACCACTGTGTTTGTTCTGTCTTTTAATAGTTAATCGTTCTATTGCAGATTTAGGGTGGAGATTATTATATTTAAAAGAAAAGTGCATGTGCTCCAAAAAAAGCAAACTTAAATTATTAACTGTTACGTTATTCATTGTTTGTTCAACATAGCATTGCACGTGTATAGCAGTGGGAACTATCTAGGCAACTGTTCTACTTATTTGAATTATGTATATTCTATGTGTAACTCAATGCTGTTGTTTCCCAAATTAATAAATAAATATATCTGCTCTCAATCTTTCGATGACTTTCTCTAACTTGTATTGCCAAGGCTTTTTCTCGTCTTTGTCGTGCATGATATCTGAATTTTGTACAATTTTATAGTTTAGTTATTCCGTGATAGTTCGACTAATTTTATATTAATAGATATATATTTATTCTTTAAGTATGCTATCATTAAAAACATTGTCAGTTTTTGACAATATCTAAGCTTTGGCAATTTAGATCGAATTGCAGGATCCATGCCTGAATGCAAAGTCAAATTATAGTGGAATTTCTTAGCAATTTTTTTAAAATATGTATTTGATTTGAAGGATCTTTAAATAAGACATCAGTTTTATGATCCAAATTTGGGTAAGCGCTTCTGTTTGTGTCTCTGATTCTAATTCCATAAGTGGAATCAGTGATTGTTGGGGACTTGTATAATTCAGATTCAATAATATTTGTGAGGATGATGGGTGTTGTGTTTACGAGTGTTTCTTCTGTAATATGATTATTGCTACTATTTATATCCTCTCCTTTTAATTGGATTTTTACTTCTTCTTTAAATCTATTCAGTATATCATCATATAAAAGTTTTTTTCTTACTGTAGCTCGTATTCGATCTGATACTTTTTGATATATTACATTTAATTCTGGGTATTTGATAAAAAATTGATCATGCACTTTTCTCTATAAATTGTCATTCATGTCTGATTCTAATTTAGTAGTGTGGTAATATGTGCGCATGATAAATAAATTGACATCATTACTCCATACACACTCTGGTTTTGTCGGCTTTTTTTGGACGTAGCTAAAAAGGCATTATTTGCCTCCTACGCAACATCCAAGCCCGGCGACAGTATTTGCCCAGATACTTATTTTTTAATCGTGTGTCGAACCCCCACCTGATCAGATGTTCGATCACGTGTACACTCGTTCGCTCGGACGTGTATACTCTATTACTTATTTATTCCTTATTTAGTCCTTATTATATTATTTATTTTATCTATACATACCTATATAAAAGTTCTGTCATACTGACTGACGAATTACGCACGTTTTTATGAAACTTCTTTGTTTTTAGACATACATCAATAAAAATAGGTATTTGGGTAGTTTAAGACCTCAGGAAGGTAATAGGTTATTTTTTATTCCGAAGACCAACAAGGGATGAAAATGGGAGGGAAAGTTTTTATTGGGAATTAAAATGGAATTGAAAGTCGTTGTTTTCAATTTGATTTGTCATTGTTATAAATCTATTTATATTATTTTAAATATTTCCTTAAATTGTGATAAAATTGGAATTTAAGTTGATAACATAAATAACATTTTAAATAAATATTTTTGTAAATATTCAAATACAAATAATTGTAAATACGAAAGTAAACACAAACAATATATTTTGTGCTATACTAGATGGCTTAAGTACTTCTCTATCGCAGTGTTTTGCTCAAAGTTGAGTTTTACAATATTTTTTATTATTTAATTTGTAATTTCATTGACTTCGTGATATAGATGATTAATGTGAATTATTAAAATAATCTACTGGACATTGTTAAAATAATTTAATCTCCTTGACATTTCTGTAGAAATTAAAACGTCCTGCTCATGAGAGGGGAGCGGTAGGTGGTCGACCAAATATTGTAAAGTCGGGAAAATAAAAAAAATACCTTCAGATTTTAACCTATACTTTTCTGTTATAAACTTATAATAAAATCTTCAACATGTATCTATTTGTATGCATTGCTGCCAATTTAAAGGCTAAAGTTATTTATGAAATTTGTAACGCTTAAAAAAAGTGTATTAGTTATAGTTGTTTATTGGGTTTAAGACCCGTAAGAGCGTTAACAGATGGGTAATAAAACAAATAATTTTATAACAAACTTTACTACCCAAAAAGTAGGGAGACATGAGTTCTCAGGGTTAGGGTTCGACGGGAAGCTCGCAACGTGGATCAGTATGTAGATAGGTACGATTTTATATGGCCCTAGTCAACCGTTCGCAATAGCTAGGTCTCGGTCATCCACTGTCCTGGTAGTGCTTCGGCGAGATGAACGGCCGAAGAGGTCCAGTGGTGTAGGCCTGAAGATGGGTCCGAAGCCAGCGCTTCAGCACCCAGATGTTAGGTAAAATTGATGATCATCTTGAAGCTTCCCAGGGGTGGGAAGGAACCATAAATGAAATTAAATAAATTGTCACGGCCATCAGGTTGGCTGCGACATCACTGGTCTTCAGGCGGTGCGAGGTAAGAAGCAGGAACAGATGGAATAACGCCATGGGTAGTGATCAGTGATGAAGCAGACAAACAGGCAAGATAATTAAGCAAATAAAAAATGGTGTGCATTTCTCGTTAAACAAAAGAAACAAGTGGGTATTTTGAAATGCCACACCCAAAAGATCATTCTAGATTTTACTAGGTTAATTTGCAAGGTGTTCAGATGGGACTAAAACACACCCGTTATTACACAAAGATACAATATATTGTTAAGAAACACAATATAAAATTTAGACAACAAAAAAAAGCTAAACTGACTAGAAAATATGCAACACTTACCCAATACGGGGATATCACTTCAATAAAGTAAATAAAAAAAAATATAATTATTAAAACATTAATTTTACGTCTTAATTTTACGGCTACAGCGGCCGCGAAAGTTGATGTTACGCTGCCTTCGTTTGAAATGTGTCACAAGAAACGCGTTCACAGGTTTTGTACCTTTCATAAAACTGGATTGCGCCTGCGACGCGGAAAACAATAGCTGCGAGCAAGACATGTTGTCAAGCCCGTCGCCGTTTATCTATATAGAAAATTATTGGTTTGTCTATCTCCGGAGAACAAATTTTATAGTAAAATAAATGTATACGTTTTATAAAATATAAACCGTTACAAATTGATAAATAAAAAACATGTGTAAATAAAAATTTGTTTTATTTTTTATCATTATATCAATGTATGGATAAGAAACTGATACGCTGACGAAACCTTATTCGTCTAATAGTTGAATGGCCAAGTGAAAGATTTAACAGCTGATAAATGTCCCAAACGTTTTATGTCATTATAATAATCATGCTTAATAAATAAATCTACCAAATGAAACATTGTTGTTGGTTGGTAAGTGAAACTCTGCCAAACGATTTTCGGCGTAAGGGCAGGATAGCCGAAAATATTTTCACATTTTTCTATAACTGATTTGATTGGTAACTCATAATCATGCCCTGTATTTTATTTTTTGTAGAACACTATGTCCTCGTGTTTTAAATAATTAGTTTAATACTTTCGATAACATAAAACAGCTTATAACAGCTTGGTTCACTTACAGGATTAATTTGATGTCAACTCTTAAATACTGTTAAAGATATATGAGTAATTAACAGTTAGGACCGCTTAGAGCCGAATAATTAAAAATGTTACTGCGCTCTCGAGTGACTCTGTTTATAGGTTATATGAGGTTTGGCTAAATTTAAAAGGAACTCAATTTTATCTAAAAGCTTCATCTATTCTCGTATATTACAACTATATTAACATTGATATGATGATATAACTTTTCTATAGGCACGGTAAATTCATAAGAATTTGTTACAGGAACAAACAATATTATTGTCTTCCTTTATCATGTCAGCACCTTTCTCTCCGATCATAATAGTCGGTGCATTGATATTGCCGCTAGTTATAAAAGGCATAACACTAGCATCAACTACTCGGAGTCGCCTTACACCACTAACCCGTAGCCTAGAATCTACCACTGAACCCATAGCGCAGGTACCCGTGTAATGGTATACAGTTACTAACAGTTCCCGAGAATAACATTTCCAGTATTCCCTCGATCCCCACTCATAGCCAGCACATGCAGGTAAATCAAAACGGACTAATTCAGCATTCGCTTTCTTAAAATAGGTTGTATTAATGACGCGAATAACATCTTCAATATAAGTGGCTTGGTTTTCCAAATCATCAGGATTGGAGTAGTAACCTCCGTGAATTAATGGATAATCTTTGGGATCTTTACTCTTCAATAAGATTTTACCTCTAGATTTTGGGTGCATTGTGTTGGGAACGGCTAACAAAACTTCGTGACTTTCGCATGATTCATTAAGCTGTCGACAAAGAGCATCCTCTAAGCCAAAAACAAATGTACAAAATCCTAATAGAAAAGCTGGATTTCTTAAGACTAGATCAAAATTTTGATAGTCAGGGTAACTTTGAGTTCTGTTGAGTGCAGCATAACCGATAATTACTGGTACTGGAATTTCATGTGGATTTTGAGGGGGCTGAAAAGAAGGTAATTTTCCCATTTTAAATGCAAGTGGTACTCCCTGGTGGTCATGGAAATTTTCTCCAACTGGTAGATCTGATATTACTGGAATTGCCATTTCCTGCAAGTGTTTTCTAGGGCCAATTCCTGACAGCATTAGAAGTTGAGGGGTATTGATAGACCCAGCTGATACAATGATCTCCCGCCTTGCTTTAACTGTTAATTTTCTATTGTCACTCGTAAGAGCTTCAATAGCTACAGCATTTTTTTTTCTATCAAAAATAATTTTTGTTACTAGAGTGTTTTTCCAAACGTGCAGATTGGTCCGATCTTTGATTGGAGATAGAAAAGCATTACTCGTGCTCTGTCTAGTGCCATCCGAAATCGTAAATAAAGGCTGTGTGTAGCCTAAATCACCAGTGCTTGTATCTATTACAATTTTATTACCCAGTTCTTTATAAGCCTGCATATATCCATCAACATCTGGGTGGTATTGTCTTTGTACTCCCATATATCCTTTATAGTTATGATATGCACCATAATGTGACGATCGTATAACGGAATCTGTAAGTCTTTCACTTTTTTTAAAATATGGTAACACTTTTTCGTATTTCCAGTTTTTATCTTTTACAGTGTCAGCCCAAACGTCGAAATCATGTGGGTTCCCTCTGACGTAAACCATAAAATTCAGTGAACTGCTGCCGCCTAACATTTTACCTCTAGTCATCTCGACGGCACGACTTTTTGTATATTGTGAAGTATAATTATCATTCACTGATGTGTAGTTCCAATCGACGTGAGAATTCTTCATGTAAAGGATTTCACCTGGAAGCTGATTATGTTACTATTAAAATAGGACACTGAATAATTGGTATTTTTTAACATTAATAGTAGTAGTTTTACGCGCGAAAGCTATATTTAATATATTAATTTTATGAAAAAGTTTCTAATAACCATTGACTCTAAGGGAGGATCACCACCAGCTTCGATGAGCAGAACTCTTTGCCGTTTATCCTCAGTAAGTCTGTTGGCTACCACGCTTCCGGCTGAACCAGCTCCAACTACGATGTAATCGAATACTGAACCATCTGAAAGGAAACTACTTCTGAATTATAATATACATAACATACATAAATGATTTGCCATTTTTTGTTGAAACTTTATGCGACATAGTATTGTTTGCAGATGATACTTTTTTAATATTTAATATTGATAGATGTAAAAATAACTTTGACGATGTAACCAATGCTCTCTCACAGATTATGACCTGGTTTACTGTAAATAATATCCAGTTAAATGATAAAAAAACGAAAGGTTTAAAGTTTATGATATCTAATGTAAAAGCTGAACTAACAGAAATTAAACTTAATGATGAAAAGCTCGAGTTGGTTGATTCAACAATCTTTTTGGGTGTAACGCTGGTCTCTAAATTGCAATGGCATCCTCACATTTCATTATTGGCAGGAAAACTAAGTTAAGCTGCCTTTGCAATAAGAAAAATTAGGCGACTCACAGATGTAGATACTGCAAGGACAGTATACTTTAATTATTTACATAGCGTTATGTCATATGGCATTCTGATGTGGGGTATGGCTGCAAATATAGAGTCTGTATTTATATTACACAAAATAGCAGTAAGGGCTATTTATCAGTTGAGTTCAAGAACATCACTTAGAGATAAATTCAAAGAGGTTGGGATTTTGACAGTGGCCTCTCAATTTATATACAATAAAATGTAATATACTCGTAATATTAAAGACTTCTTAAAGGACAAAATTGGTAATTAAATTAAATTGAGACGACATATAATTTGTAATGATAATTCGTAAATACAATGTTATAGTCAAATGGTTAATTATTAATTATTGACATGATCTATACTGTAACATTTAATTTTTGTACTTTATGTAATGACATTAAAAAAAAACATTTGCACAATTTTCATATACTGTAGAATATAAGAAACTATTATTAATAACTATGTAATATCGTATCATATTCTTGCAAATAAACAATCATTATTATTAAGTAAAAAATAAGATACATTTTAGGTTATCACATCACTAGAAGCGTAAGTAAATTTTTAGGTCAATATTGGACATGATTCTTTATAATAAGATTGTTCTATTTTAATTATTTTTACCTTCAACGATCGCTTGCGGTGGGTATAAGTAGCTGGTGAGTTGTAGAGTACTCAACACCAATAAGGCTTGTTGTACAATTTGAAAGTTCCGAATAACAGCATCCATCATTCATTTGTTGCCTGTAATTTCAGTGCAAAGTGATCATCGCTTCAGTTATATATAAAACTAGCTTTTGCCCACGACTGCGTCCGCGTGGTATTGTTACTTTATGCAGCAATACTTATCCTCAATAAATTAATTACTGATGAAACAAAAAACACAAATAATTATATGTTTGTTAATTTAAATTTCACTTTAAAATTTTAATTTTGAATTGCAGATTTTTTACCTAGTGTAACTTTTTAGGACCTGATCCTAAAAAGTTACACTAGGTAAAAAATCTGTAATTCAAAATTCATTTTACGCCAACTAGTATACAAAATTACTTGAATTATAACATTTTTATCCATTAAAAGTAATATTTACTCGAATGCCAATTTTCGTCGCTATACAATAAAACATTTTGTAAATAATATTAGGTAAATTAATTACAATGACAAAACAGACTGTAAACAATAGTTGCTATGGTAATATTTTGATTCCCCGTAAAATCTTTTACTCCCGTTTTCATCCCTTTAAGTGCTACTTTTCGGGATAAAATTTAATCTATTACCTTTCTAGAGTCATAAACCATTCAAATACTAATTATTTATCGACATAGGTAATATAATCAAAGAAGTTTCATACAAACTTTTTCACTCTTTTTAGCCCCCTTCGAGATAGTATATCCAAAAATCCGTTTTTAGTATACCTCTACGTATTAAGTGTGATATTCCCTCCAAATTTGAAGTCTACGGCCAACGGTTTAAGATGTGCGTTGTCTGTCAGTCAGTAAGTCATTACATCTCCTTTTATTATGTATAAATAGATAAATCACAGTTAGACTTGCGGTAGATGTCCAAAATATGTTTTTTTTAAACACATCTTTAAACCGTCGTAGATTGTTGAATCTTAAGTTATTTTTCTCTACTAGCTACTAACTGTTGGCGTAATGTTAAGAGAAAGCATAACCGTCCATAAGTAATGACCGCACAAGAAAACGATGTGATTTTATAAAAGTCTCTTCTAGCGATCATCGAATCAAAATAAATTAAATGTGAAAATTAGGTTTATTGTTTTCTGAAACCTAAAGTATTCATAAACTTTATAACATACAATGAAATAACTTAATTCACTTAATTAGTAAACCTTACTTAAAAACAAACATCACTTACCGTTTTCAAGATAAAACTCCTTATTAATGCTGCTCAGACATTATATTTAAGCTAAAGTTGACCTTGGTTTTCACCTAGAATAATTTACAAAAAAATATATTAATTCGATTGCTATGCTTTAATTTCATATTATCATTAGCATTTATTATATGCATTGTTATGCAATTTAAATTTTAATGTCATTATTTATTGTACACACAGCTGTCCATTTACCACAATATTTTACATTAAGTTAATTTAAAGTTCAACCTTAATTTTTTTCAATTTTTTCCAATATTTCTAGTATATTGATAATCAAAGGTGACTGCATATTGATAGGCAATTATTATTTTATCTAATTAGGTCATATTTTATGGAAATGTTCTTGATTCTTCTACTCAACAAATTTTATTAAAAGTTATTAAGGTATAGATACCTACATACTATTTGTAAAACTCATAACGTTTATTAAAACATTAATTGTAGCATTCATTGTAAGGTGGTACTTAACAATTTTTACACAATATAAGTTTATTTAATTTGGTAAATTTCCAGGAAGGGACTTTTACCTACTTTGATTTGACATAACAATACAAGTAGCAATCGATATTCTGTGGCTTTCTTCCTGATAATAAAAAGGGTTCGATGTCTGACCAGTGCCAACGGGTTGAGGAACGTGAGCCAACTATTTTGATTTTTATTTTTTATTCTAAATCTACTGTCTTTTAAATTAAATCTTAGAAATTTTATGTCACTGGTTACAATGCCAGACGAGACAATTTCAAATTTAAATAACCTAAAAGAGCTTATTTTCAAACATAGTTCCATAAAGGGACAAATAAAGACATTTAAAAATTATTTAATTAAATTATCAGAACAACCTGATTTGTCGAGTGTGCAATTAGCTGAGTTATCACTAAGGTTGTCTCGATTTGAGTCATTGTCAACTAAGTTTGATGACCTGCAGGGTCAGATTGAGGTCATCAATTGTGAAAATATTTCGAGTGAACTTGATGAGCGTGATAACATTGAACAAGACTTTATTTCTTCTATTGTCACTGCAAAAAAACTTGACTGCTAATCAAGCTAATTCTTGTTACACGCATGATGATACTCTGTGTCATCACAACCATCAAGAATCTGAATTAAAGCTACCGCAGATACAGATTGCAAAGTTTGATGGAGCATATTTTAAATGGTTGGAATTCCGTACAAAATGTCAAAAGGTTCAAAAGGTCCCATAGGAGTACAAAATCCGAAGGTAAATTATAGCACTCATTGTAGTCATATTGCAATTTCTAATGAACAATAAAATATAAATAATATGCTAAAAAAAATTGGGATTGAGAAAGGGTTCCAAGGGTTCCAATTAAAAGGGCAAAATAATTTTGAGCAATAAAGTATTGTGAGAAACATTTCTTGACTCATACAACAAGAGATGAGTCTGGTAACTATTCACTTTTTGGGCGATACTTACAAAATAGCTAAAAGACGTTTTTTAAATTTGGAATGGATGTTTCGGAAAATCCCCAAGCTTAAGTTAGAATATACGAAGTTCATTAAGGAATACGCTTACTTAAACCTTCTCTCAGTCTCCAGTAGATATACCAAAAAACATTTCATACTTTCTTTGTCATCAAGATGTATTCAAAGAAGACAGCGAGTCTACAAAATTAAGGGTGGTCTTTAATGGCTCAGCCCCTTCCTCATCTCGATATTCTTTAAACGACATTTAAATGGTAGGGCCAAACATTCAAGATTCACTTTTATCTCTTTTCTGCGTGCGCGACGATACAAATTCTTGTTAACCGGAGACATAAAAAAAATGTACCGTCATGTGAATGTTAAGACCGAAGATCATGACCTACAGCTTATATTGTGATAATTAGTGAGAGTTCACTTACGGCACAGCAAGTGCAAGTTATTTAAGTACACGATGTCTAAAGCAGCTAGGAGAGGAATATAATGATAATCGAACATCATACAGAAGGATTTTTTGTTGATGATCTTATCACAGGCGTCGATAATATAGAAAAACTACATTTTATATTAAATTCTTTGTAATTTAATATCTCCGAAACTATTTAACCTAGACATATATTTTTTTTACATCATATGAAAGACAAATAGTACTCTCCAGGAACCTCGGGAGTGTCGGTCGTTCTGTTCCATCCAGTATATTATTGTTATATGTAATTTAATTTTAGGTCCTTACCTATGAAATTGGCGTTTTGTCGTACTGGCTACTTTAATCAAAAATTTCTCATCCTTGGTTTGAAATTGCAAATTCAAATTTATACAGCACACATGTTTTGTTTTTCGTTAGGCGGGATTCATTTTTTTTTTTTTCGTCTGTATGTCCTATTTACGTCACCCAGTATAAAAAATGGAAAACTTGAAATATCATGTCGTCGGTGTCAGTTCAAAAGGGTGTATGTCAAAACAGCAAATTTTCAGGAAACACAAAAAACTGTACATTTGTAAAATTTGCATACATAGGTTAACAAAACTCAGGGAAAAGCTTTAAATAAAATAGATATATGGATTTGCAAGATGCCTGGTAACAAATTTCGTTTGAAAGATGATTTTCGGGTCTATACGACCTTTAGATACTTTTTTTATATGTAGTGGCAAAACATACGACTTTTTGACTGTGTTTACGGCTTTTTGAAACGACAAAATGTTCACTTAGGACATTTTAAGTAAATCTTTTTGGTGACCTTTCAGACCGTATATATGAGGTTTTAATAAAATTTTGATCTTAGACAAGCCAAGAAAAATTATCGAAATTCATAAAAATCAAAAAAGATAATTTTATGTACGAGTACCTATATTCTTTCATAAAATCCACTACTAATTGATACTGATGTTAGTTTGAAATAAAAATCAATTTCATTTATATATCACAATCTCTTTAATAGTATTCTCAAAAAATCAACAAATTAAATTCTCAATTATTATAATTTGAGTTATTCAATTTAAATAAACTTTACTTAAAAGTTGAACAAATAATTACGAGATCGGCTTAGCTAAACTATTATAAGCTACACTATTAGAAAAGCTTGTATTTTAAACTTACGAAATAAAGTTTATAACGATTTACTTATAAAATATTAAAGTTCAAAGAAAATTTTAAATATTACTGGACTTACAGCGAAAAAAATATTAGATAGTAAATATTGATTGATATCTTTATTATTACCTACCAAATGTTTTATAAGTAATTAGATCAAGACTGAATTTTTTGGTAATAAAATCAACATAAAAGCCATAGATATTAAACAAAATAAAAATGAGAGTACCTAAATAAATTTAAATTTTAGATTAAATTAGGATTTTATATGAGAACATATTTCATTCGAGTTGCATTCATGTGGCAAGGAATCATAAAAATAATGGTAGTTATCGTGCATAAGTAATTTTAAATCCTGTAAATCAAGAAATTTTTTCAGAGTAATTTTTCTTTTTGAACTGTACAGTGGAGGTACTTCGCAATTAGGAATTGGCAATTTGTGTCTACGCGGTAAGTCCTCCCATTCATCATCATATAATAATTTGTAGTGGATTGTGCCATCGGGACTGTATTTCAAGCAACGAATGTCATTGACTACGTTATCACCAACCCTATTACCAGGTCGTATACTTTTGTAGTAATTTAAATTCGTATAATTCTTAAAAAAGTCATATTTGAGGCTGTGAACTTCATACGGACTTGGAATCTTCCTAGCGCTTCGTATTATCTCTACATACTCAGCAGGTAAAAAAAATATTCTTCTTTCTAATTTTTCGATCTATAACACTGTGTTCTGAATCCACTTCCATGAATGTGTGTCCATGTTCAAGATATTTTTGCTCTATGATTATGCCTAATTTGACAGCACAGTCCAAAATAGCATTCGATACTACTTGGTTTCGATTTTGATATCCACAACCATCCGACCATAATATTATTTTAGTTAAATTTCTATCTGATCTTTCAAATTCAGTTTTAATCAAATCAACATACAGAGAAGCAAAAACATCAGCTTCTAGCCCTCCATTTACTTCATCCCAAAGGTAGCATCTACCTTTGTGCGTCGTAAGATCAAATGATGTGAAATTATGAATTTTCAATTTCATTTTGTAATACGCTAGTGACACATTTAATTTTGGAGCCAACAAAATAGCTTGAACGTCTACACAAAATACCTTTAATGAGGTATCCATTTCGGCCAGTCTCTTATCTGCTGCTTTATTGTTCCTGCCCATATTTTTTCTTAATAAATGTAATTCGTACTTATCTTTGTCCAATCTAGATTCATGAAAAGCAAAACATGTGTCGCACTGGTCTTTACGGTTTTGAAATAAAGTAATGTTTTGTTTTTTTAGTTCTTGTGAAAAATGAGTCCAAGAATATGGTTTTATGTTATCTTTTTCGGCTATTAGTTTGTAATTATAATGTAAGTCTGTCAAGGAATCCCAGTTTGGTTCTAAGAAAATCTTCGTAGAGTTTGCCCGACAATAATGGGATTCCATCTTTGCTAAATTTCGTAAGAATGATTGAATATGAGTATCGCGATCTACTTGAGCGTTATTTAAGGTTGAACGTGATGTCGACGGGGTAGGAATTCCGTTTTGAGACCGTGTGCACCAGGATCTTGCACATTTTTCACCCAGATCAAGAGTGTTTAAAAACATTTTTTTACACACAGGAAGACGATCGCCATTGTGCCTTAAATGATATTTCAAAGTAAAATTTCTACGCCAACATTCAATATTTTGCCTTCGAGTAGTAGGCTCTATTTGGACAACCAAGCTTGCCACATAAACTGTGCGCTGTTCCCAATTTAAATTTTGCCAAAAGTTTTCATGTATATTCTTTCTAGCTTCATCTGAAAACTTTCGACATTTCAATTTTGCAGATTTGCAGTTGCAAGCATCCTTCATTTGTCTAGCTCTTCTAAAATTACTTTGAATCCAATGACCGTCTATCTTCTTTAAACCATTATAAGATTTTCCTAGCATGCGTCGTTTTTGTTGCTTAGATCGGTAACGAGTCCGTTTTATTCCACGCCTTTTATTGGCATTCAAATTTTCACTGCCTTCAGTGGAGCTTTCATTTCCATCCGGTTCATAGGCATCATCATCATCATCGTCGCAAACATCAGATTCAATAATTTCTTGAATTTTCTCTGAATCTGGGATCGTATTATTAGACCTTTCACTTAAGACAAGATTACTGTATTGTATTTCTCCTGTCTTTTCATTCAGAATACATTCATCAGTATCATGGATTAATAAATACTGACTGATGCTAGGCGATACAGGTTCACCATCACCAACATTACCATGATTGTTGCTAAAATCAGATGCCACACTTCCTTGTGTATCTAAATTTGGTGTTGTGTGTATAGACGTTTCATTTAAAACCTGACTACTTTGTTGAAAGTGAGGTATGGAAGATAATTGAAGTGCTCTTTTGAGGAGATTAGCCCCTCTTCCCTGTTTCTGCATTTTACCTGTACAAAAGATTTAATCACATTTTCTAATAAATATAAGCTATTGAAGCTTCTTTATGATTATTTCCGAGACTAAAATTTACGGATCATTTCAACGTATCGACGGGCATGGGTACCATACATTTTTTTTGTGACAACACATCGATGCTTTGTGTCACACGCTCCATCAATATTACATTATAATGTGGTTTACATATTTATTTATATACTCAAATTGTAATACGCCCAGGTTCGTAACAAAAACAAGTGTTCATCACACGTATGATTGACCCCAGAGGAGTTCGAATCTACTACTGGCAAAGAAGATAATCATAATTGTTATTTATATTAAAAAAAATGTATTTAACTGTAAATTATTTATATTTACACTCTTTAATCAAAAAGTCGTATGTGAGTTGATATTATAATGGAAAAATACATACAACTTTGAGAATCGTATTGTTATTCACACTAAAGATTTAAATAGGAGTTTGATCACGTAATCTTCCTTAAAAAGCATATAATTACAACGAAACTTAAACTATCGACAAATTAATTTCATGCTGACCAACTGAAAACTTCGGATTTTGAAATGTGGGGTTATTTACAATGACTTTGCACACATAAATTAACAATTTGTCAATAATTCCTTATTCTATCATAAATTGAAGCTAATAAATTATAAACTTACCTTCTTATTGCTCTATTGATTCACATTTGAAGTATGAAATCACATTTCCAATATTTTTTGATGCAGAATCCGTTACGTCAAGATATCTTAAACAATGTCAATAAGGATCAAAAAGACGTACGTTAAACATACGAGAATTTGAAACATGAATATAAAATACAACCTTTTGCTTTAGGTTATAAAGTCCAATATGTTCAAACATATACCACAATGACATTTTGACACATGAAAGATTACGTTCCAAACTACGCATACAGCTATTTAAAAAAAATAAAAAATTTTGACATACGTCCTTTTGAACTGACAGCGACGATGTTATTTACGAGTATGAGTTCCACCGTGGTACCAATGCTGCGGAAACGGCTCAAAGGGTTAATGATGTGATATGAGGTAATGAGTTTCTTGCTCGTTCTTCTTATCAGCCAAAATACGTCCTGAACGAGTGGTAGGGAAAAAAATTTTGGACTATTCAAAAGTACTTTTAAGAAGTCTATTTGAGTAAAAATTATTTTGACTTGACTTTGACTATGCAGAACAAGCCCCGTGGATGGCCGGAGACCCAAGTTAATAATGAAGACTTGAAGGCTATTGCGGATCCATCGCAAACCACGTCCGAGTTAGCTGCAGGCTGCGGTGTTAGTGATATAACTGTTTTAATCCACTTGAAGCAAATTGGAAAGATTAAAAAGCTTGAAAGGCGAGTTCCTCATGAATTAAGTGAAGCAAACCGGCAAACGCACTTCGACTGCTGCGTTACATTACTTAAGTGGCAAAATAATGAAGGAACTGTGATGAAAAGTGGACTCTTCACCATAACCGAAAGCGCTCATCGCAATGGTTGGACCCTAGCATGCCAGTCAAATAATGCCCCAAGCGAAAATTGACCCCAAAAAAGTTACTTGTAAGCGTTTGGTGGACTAGTGCCGGTGTCGTTCATTACAGTTTTCGCAAATTTGGCCAGACGATTACGGCAGACGTTTATTGTCAGCAATTGCAAACCATGCTGGAAAAACTAGCTGTTAAACAACCGAGGCTGAGCAATCGCTCTACGCCACTGCTACTTCACGACAACGATAGACCACACACTGCACAACAGACGGCTACCAAATAAGAAGAGCTTCAATTGGAATGTCTTACTTACCTAACTCCTACAGATTACCATTTTTTTCGAAATTTGTATAACTTCTTGCAAGGAAAAAAATTCAACTTTTGTTTTTTTTAGTATGGGGATCAATGAAATACCTATGAGATGGCAAAAGTGAATAGATAACAATGGTTTATACTATGATTAAATATATATATTATATTCAAAATATTCGACTTAAATACAATTATGCTGTTATGGGTCAAAGTTTTACTAGTTTGAACTAAGCGTAGATTGTGACACCGTCTCTGACTTTTTGTGAAAAAATAAGTTCATGTCTCCAAAAAATTATACGTGCTTGAAAGGATGTTTTATAAGTACATTTTTCTAACTAATAAGGGTATTATAATTCAATAATTATTAACCTTTATTAACCTCTTAACAATTATAAATAATTTTACATTTACGGTACAAAATTTCCGAATCTTTTAATTTACAATAAAATTTCAAATTAATTAATGAATTGAAGTATTATCAAATATATGGAATTTTAATGAATACATAATCAATATAAATTCACCTGAATAAAAATCCGGAATTTTCTTACAAAACTGCGCTAATCTAAACATTCTGAAACAAAGTGTTTAACACGATGGCTTTGCAATAATATGTAGTTTTAATCTATCTATAATTAGAAGTCTGTGGTTCAAGCCTATGTTTTAAGATTCGATTTTTGTCATTGGCTTTCCTACGTGGACCTCCTTTGTATTATTCTTCCACTTGCGTTCTCGGATACGGTCATTAGAAACTTCGTCTAGCAGTGTTACCCACAATAGAGATTTTTTCATTGCCCTATATGCCGCTCGTAGATTTTCAAGCACTTTGCACAAGAACGAAATTGGTTAGGATGAGTTGGATTAGGTACTTTATTTATAAAAAGAAAATACTTAAAAAGATTGTGAAAACTCAAGGTTGAATCCCATCTCGGGCAACTGAGCGTAGTTATATCTTCTATTCTGTACTATAATAAAAACGTAACTGGTCGATGTCTGTACATTGAAGATATATAAAAAAGACTATTATGGGGGACATTTATAAGCCTAATAGAACACAAAACAATTTTTTTTTGTCTGTTTGTCTGTGCGTTTGTGCACGATAAGCTCAGAAACGGCTGAACTGATTTAAATGCAGTTTTCATTATTATATTGTGGTATTCTTCCGTTAACATTTAGTGTAAAATTTATTTCAATCGGTTCACAAATAAAAAAGTTATGTCAATTTGAAGTGACGTGTTCGACAAAATTGCAATGAAATATTAACTATTTAATTAAATTTTTGTCTTTGATATATTGATGATCAACATTAACTCTTTGACAGCCAAACTGCAGAGCCTCAGGCCTTTGTTTAATAATTTTTGGTTACCCATCCCGTAAACAACTCTTGCGAAAATTGCTTAGCAATATTGATCGTGCGCGGCGGCGCTTATCCGTAGCGCCACCGAGCTACGAATTAATATTGTCTATAAAATGTTAATTTGTATGATGAAAAATAAAAAAATAAGATTCCAAAATTTTGACAACTCCAAAGTAAGTTGACCTCATTTATATATGGCCAATAATATTAAATAGGGTTCAGCTTATAATGGACCGTTGGTATACGACCACGCGTGTAGGAGAACAAACGAAAAGAGTCTTCCGATGATGCAATTAAGCCGCGAGTAGTTTACAGTGAACGCATATTTTTATCAGATTAGGTTCACGTCGTCGTCGGGGCCAGCAGAGGTGGTTGGCAGCCGCCCTCGCATTGCACAGTTTCGTCTGTCTGGGAGAGGCACTCGATTTACCCGAGCCTCTCCAATTTTCCATCTGCAAGGGGACCAATGGTCCAATACTTGAGTGTCCTGGTGACTCGGCCTTGCCGGGTTGCCGGGTTTCATCTCCCATGAGAGGGTGTCAAGCAACTTTCGCAAAGGTCAGTCACAGGATGGGTGACCAAAAAATATTACCTTAAGCAACTCCAAGCTTCGGAAGGCACGTAACGCGGTTGGTCCTGGTTGTATTTGCAGTCGTTAATATCCTCCAATCCGCATTGGGCCATTTCGCATGTGGATGCAAAGTGTCACGAGACTGTGCTTTTAAGTAAAATGTACATACTTAGGTATTGATATGTAGGGTTTTGCTATGGTGATTAATTGATTTTCCATGGAATACAATAGAAATAATAAAACGATGATTGGGTTAAATTTTATCTTAGAGTTTCAAATATTCTATATAACAACTACATTAACATTGATATATTCTAAAACTAATTTAAAGTACCATTTAATCTGATGTTTCTACAAGCACACTAGAATCAAAAAATATTTAATATGTGTTTCAAAAAAGAAAAAATATTATTGTCTTCCTTTATCATGTCAGCAGCTTTCTCTCCGATCATTATAGTCGGTGCATTGATATTGCCGCTAGTTATAAAAGGCATAACACTAGCATCAACTACTCGGAGTCGCCTTACACCATTAACCCGTAGCCTAGAATCTACCACTGAACCCATCGCGCAGGTACCCGTGTAATGGTATATAGTTATTAACAGTTCCCGAGAATAACATTTCCAGTATTCTCTCGATCCCCACTCATAACCTGCACATGCAGGTAAATCAAAACGGACTAATTCAGCATTCACTTCCTTGAAATAGGTTGTATTAATGACGCGAATGACATCTTCAATATAAGTAACTTCGTTTTCCAAGTCATCGGGATTGGAGTAATAACCTCCGTGAATTAATGGATAATCTTTGGGATCTTTACTCTTCAATAAGATTTTACCTCTTGATTTTGGGTGCATTGTATTGGGAACGGCTAACAAAACTTCGTGACCTTCACATGTTTCATTAAGCTGTCGACAAAGAGCATCCTCAAAGCCAAAAGTAAATGTGCAAAATCCTAACAGAGTAGCTGGATCTCTTATAATATGATTAAGATTTTGATAGTCTGGGTAATTTTGGGTTTTGTTGAGTGCCGCATAACCTATAATTAATGGTATTGGAAATTGATGTGGATTTGGAGGTGGCTGAGAAGAAGGCAATTTTCCCATTTTAAATGCAAGTAGTGCTCCCTGGTGGTCTTGGAAATTTTCTCCAACTGGTAGATCTGATATGACCGGAATGTTCATTTCCTGTAAGTGTTTTTTAGGGCCGATTCCTGATAGCATAAGAAGTTGAGGGGTATTGATAGACCCAGCTGATACAATGATCTCCCGTCTTGCTTTAACTGTTACTTTTCTATTGTCACTCGTAAGAGCTTCAATAGCTACAGCATTATGGTTTGCATCAAAAATAATTTTTGTTACTAGAGTGTTTTTCCAAACGTGCAAATTTATCCGATCCTTGATTGGAGATAGGAAAGCATAACTCGTGCTCTGTCTAGTGCCATCCGAAATCGTAAATAAAGGCTGTGTGTAGCCTAAATCACCAGTGCTTGTATCTATAACAATTTTATTACCCAGTTCTTTATAAGCCTGCATATATCCATCAACATCTGGGTGGTATTGTCTTTGTACTCCCATATATCCTTTATAGTTATGATATGCACCATAATATGATGATTGTATAGAGGAATCTGTTAGCCTTTCACTTTTTTTAAAATAAGGTAACACTTTTTTGTATTTCCAGTTTTTATCTTTTACAGTGTCAGCCCAAACGTCGAAATCATGTGGGTTCCCTCTGACATAAACCATAAAATTCAGTGAACTGCTGCCGCCTAACATTTTACCTCTAGTCATCTCGACGGCACGACTTTTTGCATATTGTGAAGTATAATTATCATTCACTGATGTGTAGTTCCAATCAACGTGAGAATTCTTCATGTAAACGAATTGACCTGGAAGCTGAACATGTTACTGTTAAAGTATGACTCTGAATTATTATTGTCTATAGTTTAGGTACATGTATTTTTTAATTTTTTCTAGCAGTAATATTAGTATGTTTTACTATGAGAGCTTTATTAAAAAAAAACATCATTTATATGACAAAACAAAGTTAGTAATAACCGTGGACACGAAGGGAGGGTCACCACCAGCTTCGATGAGAAGAACATTTTCCCGTCCACCCTCAGTAAGTCTGTTGGCTACCACGCAACCGGCTGAACCAGCTCCAACTATGACGTAATCGAATACTGAACCATCTAAAAAGAAACAATTTCTTATTACAATAAATACATTTCAAAAATTTCGGAGATTACTTTATATAAAACAAATAGACAAAGTCTACTTTCTATTATTAGGAATATTTAAATTTTTACTAAATATTGTATTGGCAGAGTTGGTAAATGAACATTTGTAATAATTAACAGAACGTCTAATTAATAATTCTATATTAAATCAAATCAAATCAAGATCATTTATTCAGTCCAGGCTGTTACAAATCACTTGTGAAAGTCGAAACTCTATGCCTCGGTTCGTAAGTCTATAACGGTAGATCTTATACTGAGAAGAACCGGCAAGAAACACGGCAGGCTCTGCTTTATTCTCTTGTTAACGCAAACAAATCTTAGGGAAATTGGAAAGGTAGGTGTAAATTTTACGGGGTTGCTATCGAAATTACTTACCTTGTCGATATTCTCATAGGAGTATTTAAAACATGCTCTCGAAATTACAATAAAACCATCGAGAAAAGGAGACAATTTTTTTTCTATAGACGATAGGCCCACTAGAAATCCTGGCGTTTATTATTCAAATGCTTCTACTTGTTCGTTATAATCAATATAGGTAGATTATAGTGGTAATATTTATTTCTTATTATCTAACCGCAATACTGAGTGTTTTAAAACAATATAATTGTTTATTTAATATGTATAATATTTAATTTTTTAATAGCAAACGATAAAATTCCTTTGCGATAACATTGCTATGAGTAAAATGACAGGCGACCGGAAACCTTGAAAACGTTCATCATACATTTTTAATGTTATTTTGATTTTCCGGTTAGAACAAGGTGTAGTCTTTTGCTAGTTTTCTACACGAAGTTTATGCTTTCTTTTGGTATAATTGCTATTAGTAAACACTCCCGGAATCTAGTGGGCCCAAAAAAATTGTCTCCTTTATCCATCATATTCATGTTTCCTGTAAGTAATACACTCTAGTCTTTGCTGTAAGTCCTTAGTCATCTAAATCGGAGATTTTTTATTTTTGTATTTTTGCACCAAGTACGACAGGAAAACTATTGTAGCACTTAAAAACTTGATAAACAAGTTATAAAAATGACAACGTTCAATGGTACTCGTAAAAACTTTTATATGACGTTTGTGACTGCAGTCATCATTTGTGTATTATAACGACTGCAAATGTAGCCAGGACCAACGTTCCTTCCGCGTTCCGAAGCACGGAGTACCCATCCACCCATCCCGTGAATGAACATTGTAAAAGTTGTTTAACAACATCTATCGTGGGCCGCGGCGCTTATCCACTACGCGAGCTACAGAGTGATTGTAATGTCATAACAGAGTCAAAATCAAAAAGAAAAGCCATACGTGACATCACATCAAATCATCCGAATGCTAATATTACCCAGAGCTATAAATTATATACTCTATTTAAATGTAAATATAAGTACATTAAAATAAATTCAATTTTAAATTTCTGGTCTTAGCAATTTTTGTAATGTTGTTTAATATGTATGAATTTATAATGAGATTGTCCTATTTTAATTATTTTTACCTTCAACGATCGCTTGCGGTGGGTATAAGTAGCTGGTGAGTTGTAGAGTAGTCAACACCAATAATGCTTGTTGTACAATTCGAATGTTCCCAATAACAGCATCCATCATTCATTAGTTATCTGTATCTTCATTTCATAATGATCATCCCTTCAGTCACGTCAGGACCGTCAGAATGCCGCAAGATCTGTTTCAAAAGTCAAAAACATACTTTTCATTAACATAAATCATAGTAAATTTTTGAGTCTTGAGTTTATTTGTCTGTCCAACGATAACAACAATTGGTTGAATAATATTCTAATAAGTCACACATTATCGTGCAACCATAGTAGCTCAAGAGCTGAGATGCAGGATTGATGAGTTAGAACGTCGCGTGATTGGTTAGGGCACCCAAAAACTTATCGTATGAATATAATGGTCATTAAAATTGTGAAAACTTTATTGTACGAATATATACTGTTATCATCACTTAGAAATAAGGATAGATTATTCATATGTTCAATCATTATTTATTTAAAAGAATATTGACGAGTTCTTTGAGTCTTCGGAGCTAAAAGTTACACTGATGTTACGGTAGTTTCTTAGATTAAAACAGGAATTTTTGATCTGTCATATTGACAATCGTGTACGGAAAACGAATAGGTACAATAAACTGCACGTCAGATTATACAAATGTGTCAAATTTCTCCTGTTGATTTTAAACCTTAATGCTTTGAATGTAGAATTTAATATCAACTACAGAAATATACAACATTGTATGCTTTTTAGGCAGATCTATAAATAACCTGTGATTAGCAATAAACATCGATTTGTTTCGAAAATTTGATACACATCTGACGTGCAGCCGTGTGTACATTATGTCCGATATGCACGATCGTTTATATCCATAATTCCTAGGAAAAATTGAATCACGAAAGTCTGCTAAAAACGTTGAACGGAAAACCTCAAAGCACAAAACAATACAAATATTTTTAATGATGGAATGACAGAAACAAAGAAATTATGCGATTTTTATATACTTCATTTTATGAAAGAGATTTTTTAGATCAACAACAAAACAATTTAAATGTATTTCTAAAAGTTATTGTTTATATAAATTTCACAATATTATAGAGGAGGTACAGTGAAATAATCGAATTCATTTTACATATAAACCTTATTTAAACACCTGCAGGCAGCACTTACCGTTTTCACGATATAAATCCTTATAACTACTACTCCGATATAAGTTTTAAGTGTAACTAACAACCTATTTACATTTTACTAACGTATAAAAATTTGTTTTTCGCATTCGTATTAAAACTGTTTACAAAAAAAAATATTAAGTCAGTTACTTGTATACTGACATTTGCTATTATTATATGAGTTTTTCTGCAACAATTAGTAATTTAATGAATTGCTTAATTTATTTTTATTTATGCATGATATTTAAAAACAAAGGTGAATTTAACAAAACAGTACTCAACACTTTCGCGGTTTTATTTGTTATAGTGTAATTACTAAGCTAACGGAAATTACTAATCTTATATGATAAGGTTAACGTCTGCTAGCGTGCGCATTCCGCAGATATGTAATGTAAGTTCAGCTAGCACGCAACGGAGCAAAGAAGAACTCAATAATAACATTACACTCAAAGATGGACAAAACGTAATTCAAAGTAGTGTGTATAAATACATACAGAAAGAGAAACAATCGCAACGAGACAATCCTATCATTGAGACAAATCATTGGCTCGTTGCGTAAAATGGAGGATCAAAAAAAACATATATTTTTGACGAAAAATTAGCATGGTTGAATTTTAGAAGTTATTTTGTGATTTATAGAAAAATTAAGAAATATACGCATACGGCTTGGCCTAAATTAAGATGTACCCTCTGATGTATATTTGGTTTATCTTATTTTGCCAAGAATAATTTTAAAATTAATGATACTGCTTTAGACTTTAAAATATTTAATCGTCAATAGCAATATTTAAATACAAATAGAGAATCCAAATCAACAGATAAACGAATTCATAAGTGATCAAAGTTTACCAGGTTCTAATCTTTATGTTTTTTTTTTTTCTTTTTCACCTGATGGTAAGTGATTACCGTCGCCCATGGACACCTGCAACACCGGAGGGGCTACAAGCGCGCTGCCGACCTTAGAGGGAAGGATTGAGAGGTACAGGGAAGAGAATAGGGAGGGGTTGGGCCTCCGGTACCCTCACTCACTTCACGTCGGTTTTCTGTGAGGCCGTGGTATCACTCCGGTCGAGCCGGCTCATTCATGCCGAAGCGTGGCTCTCCTGTCAAAATTACACGTTATTCTGATTTACATTTTCCTCATTCATCCGTAGAATTTGCGTTTGGCTGTATGCCAAACTAGGTAGGCACGCAACCTTCAGCACCGCTTTACATTTAAGGAACAGTCACAGATATAAACTATGATAAAAAACCGGCCGCGGCAATGACACGTTGATGTTCGTTGTATGTTTAAAAACAAGGCTTTATCAAATTATGTATAAAAAATCGTATTTAATTCTATGTATAAGAATGTGTTTGCATTTGCTAAAACTAACATACTGGACTTTCTTGAAAACACTGTATTGAGGCTAATTTATAAAGTTATATGGATTATATCATATGAAAAAAGAGTCCCTCAAGGAACCATTTTGGTTCCGTTTCTATTTCTACATACATAAATAATTTGTCATTAGTTGTTGAAACCTTCTGCAAGATAGGATTGTTAACGTCTACAAATTATACAGCACTATCTTGAAAGAAATGAAGTGATAAAGTCAAGATATGTCACCTGACACTTCTTTGACAGGTTTATATTTTATAACGATGTGGGCAATGACATTTTTTATAAAAATGAAATAATATTTATTTCTTGATATGAAAGTAGAACTTAAGGTAATCGCAAGCAATGCTGAAAATTTTACATGTGGTTTAGCCGCTACAATTTTGTTTTCTTTTTCATTAAGGGCTTTATCTCAATTTGGCTTATAAACATCTTATAGGACAGGTTAAAATTTAATAATGAAGGGTTGTTTTCCATAATATATTTTAAGTTCGAGACAATATTCATATATAGGTATATATAAACCGTTTCTGCTGAGCAATTTGTTATTCTCTCACCTTCTGATACTAAATTAATCAATTGAAACTAAGATCCATGACACTGCTGTTAGCGCAGTTTGTGATACGCAAGGGTCGGTCATAAGATGGGTGACCAAAAATTTATTATATCGAGCTCGTCCGTGCTTAAGCCATTGGTTCCGGCTGCATCTGCAGTCGTTAATACCCATCAATCCGCTCTGAGCTCGCGTGATAGGTTATGGTCCATTCTTATTATTCAATTTGATTCGATTCTATCCATAGATAAGCTCTGTACTCCAGTAGTAGGGACAATAATAGGCTGGTGATGATGAAAAAAATATTGGTAGCAGGCATAATAGTCGTTTTACCTGTAATTAACATCACACTCGACCACATTATTGTGTCCTCTCAGGACAACGTTCTCAAACATGGTCAATTATCTGCGCCTGGCTTTTCTAAACATGATCTCATTTATCTGGCATATAAAGTTAGATCTCCTAAACATAGACCTAAAATTGTACGTATGAGAAATTTCCTGAGGGTGGACGTAGAGAAGCTCAGACAGGATGCGGAAGCTATCGATTGGTCTCCTGTATATAACGCATCTTCAGTGAATGATATGGTGGTATATTTCAACACCATGATTTTGAATATTTTTGACATTCATGCTCCTACTAAAGACGTCAAACTTAAACGACCACCTGCCCCGTGGATAACACCTCTTGTCCGTATCGCAATGAGAAGGCGGGACAAAGCTTTTCGGGTATACAGACGGTGTCGTACTGAAACCAACTGGGATGCTTACAAACATGCGAGAAACAGATGTAATCAGATGATAAGGGGAGCTAAACGCCGTTACATTAATTGCAATGTTATCAATTCAACTCCAGCCGAAATGTGGAAGTTTCTTAATTCTATCGGCATCGGCAGAGCCCGAAGCCAAGACTCATGTTCCTTCGGTCTTGATGATCTTAATCGCCACTTTTCTTGTATTAAAACTCTGTCCAATAATATTAAATTTCTCACAATTTCTAAAATTACATCCTCGGCTATGCCATCTGACACTTTCTTTACCTTTACTCAAGTAACAGAGGACGATATCCGCAAGATAGTTCTTTCTATTAAATCTCAGGCCACCGGCTATGATAACATAAGTCGGAAGATGATTGTCTTACTACTTGATGCCATAATTCCTATACTTACTTTCATCCTGAACTATTCCTTATCTTCCGGCTCATTTCCTGTTGTGTGGCGTAAGGCCTATGCTATCCCTCTTCCAAAAGTCTCCAACCCCAGCTCCTTGAATCATTTTAGACCCATTTCCATTCTACCTTTTCTGTCAAAGGTACTTGAAGCGGTAGTTCATAAACAACTTTCCTCTTCCATTTTTCGCAACCAGCTTCTATCCCCATTTCAGTCTGGATTTCGACCTGGACACAGCACCACTACAGCACTTCTAAAAATCGTGGAGGATATACGTGATGGCATGGATGATACATGTCTTACTGTATTAGTCCTACTAGACTTCTCCAATGCGTTTAACTCAGTTGACCATGACGTCTTACTTGCTCTTCTCGCTCAGCTTGGATGTTCTTCCTCTGTGCTTGCTTGGTTCTCATCTTATCTTCGCGGGCGCCAGCAATCAGTACGGGTTGATCAATCGCTTTCCGATTGGGTTGACTTAATTGCTGGTGTGCCTCAAGGCGGCGTTCTTTCTCCACTTCTTTTTTCCTTATTTATAAACTTTCTCACATCTACTCTTTCAACCTCTTATCATCTGTACGCTGATGATTTGCAATTGTACGCTCAAGATAAACTTGAGAATTTGGATAGGGTCATTTTGCAACTGAATCAAAATCTATCTCGAATTTGGGAGTGGTCTCAAAGTTTTGGAATTACTGTGAATCCTGTCAAATCCCAGGCTATTATTATTGGTAGTCCAAGGCTGATTTCATTACTTAATATGAATGCAACTCCGCCTTTGTTATATAATGGGGTGGTAATTCCTTATTCTTCAAACGTGAAAAACTTGGGTGTAGTCTTTGACCGTACTTTGTCTTGGGAGGGGCACTTGGACAGTGTCAGTAGACGAGTTAATGGCACTCTTGGGGCTTTGTACCGACTAAAAAATTTTCTTCCGTCCAGTACTAAGATTGT